ACCACCTTTCCCCCACTTGTTTCCCGTCCCCCGTATAACACAGTACCACCTCTCCACCTCACATAGAGAGAAGTGCATACAGAGATCAAGCAGTTTAGAGAGAGAGAGAGAGAGATGATAGAGGTGGGCATGGCGACGAAGGTGGTGCTAAGCCTATGCTGCGTGGGGGCGTGCTCCCTCGCGCTCTACCTCTACTACACCGTCTGGGTGGTGCCGTAGAGGCTTCTTGCTGGGTTCAGGAGGCAGGGCATCGGCGGCCCGCGCCCGTCTTTCCCTTACGGCAACATCGCCGACATGAGGGAGGCCGTCGCCGCCGCAAAGTCGGCCCCCCGAGCCGGCGGCCGCATCGTCCACGACTACCGCCCAGCCGTGCTGCCCTTCTACGAGAAATGGAGGAAAGAGCATGGTATATTTGTGTCTCCGGCCATCACCTTATATATTTGCTTTATTCATCCTTTGAAGCATCTTCTTCCTGTTGCATACATACATATTTGGCTTACTAATTTCTCAGTCAACTTCTTTTCCCTGAAAAACAAAGCCATCTTCATATTTCTCACCCCTCATGCCCCTCGTTTGGCATCGGTCGGGCACCAAACAGTTTGCAGCGTAGCTCCCAAAGAAGAGATGGAGCTTAATTATCTAATTGTTTTTTGTTGTTGTTGTTGAGGGAAGGAGCTTAGTACTAAGCACTAACAGAGCCCAAAGATGCCTGATTGTTTATATTAGCACATACATATTTAGCCGAATGATTGATTCATTCTGGTGTTGGACACTAAGCTGGTGTACTCCATATAGTAGCAACAAACATAGGTTGGCCATTTTAAAAATCTGGCATCATCAAGTGCAATCTCTCTCAGGACCCGGCAATGATGAGGCCCCAGCTGTGCAGTAGGAGTATTAAACAAATGGTTTCCTTAAATAAATCAACCTGTCAATCCGTATTTGTGATGTGGATCTTAAGTTAACTCTAGAAGTTGCAACGTTAACAGGTCGACTAAACTTGTGGTGGTCTCGTGCTGCAGAATTTCAGAATTTGGCCTTTCCTGTTGCTGCATGACAATGTTGGATAGCAAAGATACATACCATATATTAGGTGAGCTGGGCGCCATCAGCTTGCACGATTTAACTGTTCTCTCGAACCCACCCCTACTAAAACTGAATGATGTTGCAGGAGAGGACATGCATGCCCACAAAGAACAACAAACCCAACCCCCCTATACGATAGTACTTTTATTTTGTTTATAAAAGGAAAGAAACAAAGCACGTAACTGTAGAGAGCTGAAATAGGTCAAGGTGATTAACTCCCTGTAGATCCTATCCTATAGTTTTGGCGTGATGCAAACGGCATAGCCGTGAGCTAGCCACGTACAGCATGTGCATCATCCGAGCTCCCTCGAAATGAATCTTGTTCGTCCTTGATGCATGCATGTATAGATAGCGGCTAGTAGCTTGCAAGTAACAATATATATAATTTGATGCACTAAGCAGAAAGACACAATCAAGTCACATGGAAATGGATCGGATTAGAAGGATAATTTCAGATTATCCATGATGATACATACGAGGCAGCCCCGACATATCACGTCAGGTGGGTGGGCACGCAACGCAACATAGAGTAGTACGTACTACGAGACCACCTCTGGCTTCCCAACGCCAGCAACAGCAACGCCATCCATTCCATTCCTCCACCGGTGCGGTGCGGTGTCCGCGCCGGGGTGGATCATGTCATGTGTGGACCGCCAGAGACGATTGGACCGCCGGCACGTCCATGTCGGACTTGGGATTGGGAGCCGGAGCTGGAGCTATCGCCCCCGTGTGCGCCTGCATGCATGCGCGTGGGCTCGCGGCTCATTCGGCCGCCGCCAGCCAGAGCGCGCGAGCTCCCGTCCACCGCTTTGCGGAGGGGCGCGTGATGAGGCGATCGGCGATGGAGACGCCGCTCCCTCAACTTGGCCGCCGGTTGTGTCGTCTGTCCCATTCCGCACGCCTGCGCTTTCACCTTTTCTTATCTTGAGCGCCGGGAGGAGCCGGACTCCTGTTGGATGCCTACCGTCGTGTCGGTTTACGGTCGTTCCGCCGAGGTAATCCAACAGAGCCGTCGATGGTGACCGGCAACCCAATGGCAATGCCAATGCCAAGAACGATTCCTACTCTCTTTTTTTTTATCTTTGATTTGATTGATTGATGAAACGGAATACAACTCATTATTTTCCCAACAATACAGTACATCTTTGATTCTAGCTACTACGTGTGATGAACATGTATTATCTACAGTACAGTAATTATTACGTGTGGGAACCGGGCAGGGTTCATTTCATATTCATTCATTAACATGTAGTATGAGTGCATGCAGGTCCAGTGTTCACTTACTCCATGGGGAACGTGGTGTTCCTTCACGTGAGCCGGGCAGACGTGGTTCGGGACATCAACCTCTGCGTCTCGCTGGACCTCGGCAAGAGCTCCTACCTAAAGGCCACGCACGAGCCACTGTTCGGCAGAGGCATCCTCAAGTCCAACGGCGAGGCTTGGGCCCACCAGAGGAAGATCATTGCGCCCGAGTTCTTTCTCGACAAGGTCAAGGTACTCCTACATAATTCTCAGCTCCAGCTAGATAATGCGTCGCGAGTGTTCTCATTTGGACCATGCATGCCCAGCAGCAACACAACATTCTGATCCAGCTAGGTAGTGTCTGATAAGATTCGGAGTAATTAGGACCACTTACAGTATGTAATCCTGCATTATTCTGCGCTGCTGTGGTACAGTACTCTATTTAAGAGCAGCATATATACAGCTAGACTCATTTTGTATCTTCATCTATATATAACCAAACCAAACCAGGGAATGGTGGATCTGATGGTAGATTCTGCGCAAACACTGCTCGAGTCATGGGAAGCGAGGGTCGACAAGAGTGGCGGCACCGTAGACATCAAGATTGACGACGACATAAGAGCCTACTCCGCAGATGTCATCTCCAGGACATGCTTCGGAAGCAGCTACGTCAAAGGAAAGAAGATCTTCCTCAAGCTCAGAGAGCTGCAAAAGGCCGTGTCCAAGCCAAATGTGCTAGCTGAAATGACCGGCCTAAGGTTAAAAAAATGTTCATCAAAATGTAGAAACTTTCACAATTCACCATTTTCGTCGGTGAAGGAACATAGACTAAGATCCTCATTCTGCAGGTTCTTTCCTACCAAGAAGAACAGGCAGGCGTGGGGGCTTCACAAGCAGGTGCACAGGCTGATACTGGAGATCGTCAAGGAAAGCGGAGAGGACAAGAATTTACTGCGCGCGATCCTTCACAGCGCAAGCAGCAGCAAGGTGGGGCTCCGCGAGGCAGAGAACTTTATAGTGGACAACTGCAAGAGCATATATTTTGCAGGATACGAGAGCACAGCTGTAACAGCTGCCTGGTGCCTAATGCTCCTTGGCCTGCACCCAGAATGGCAGGACCGGGTCCGCCAAGAGGTCCTGGACGTCTGCGGGGGCCGTCCACTAGACTCCCAATCACTCCAGAAAATGAAGAATGTATGTACATATGAATGTATCCCCAATCTTCACAAAGTGATCATATTATGATGATAGCTAGCTGACTTGAACTCCGATAAAATTGGAAATGCAGCTGACGATGGTGATTCAGGAAACCCTGAGGCTGTACCCAGCAGGCGCCTTTGTGTCAAGGATGGCACTTCAGGAACTGAAGCTGGGGGGCGTGCACATCCCAAAAGGCGTCAACATCTACATCCCTGTCTCCACAATGCACCTTGACCCCAAGCTGTGGGGTCCTGATGCCAAGGAGTTCAACCCGGCACGCTTCTCCGACGCTCGACCCCAGCTGCACTCCTACTTGCCGTTTGGCGCCGGCGCTCGGACCTGCCTCGGCCAAGGGTTCGCCACGGCAGAGCTCAAGATACTCATATCTCTCATCATCTCCAAGTTTGCGCTCAAGCTCTCGCCGCTCTATCACCATTCTCCAGCGCTGAAACTCATAGTGGAGCCCGAGTTCGGCGTCGACCTCACCTTAACCAAAGTGCAGACTGCTTCTACTACTACTACATACTAAGAGAGGCAACGTGGCCTGGATATAATAATGTTAGCATCCGTCCTCGCTCATGCAAAGAAATTTGTACGTACGTAGTTTAATCAATGAATGCAGCTTGCTTGCTTGAGAGAATGTACAGATACACACGTTCGAATTTGTTCAGATATGATCGTTCCGTGGGTATGTTAAGGTTCAGCTTGACTAGAGGAAGGTGCCAGATGAGTAAATGTCCTAATTTTCCATTCAAGAAAACAGTCGCAGCTGTTATGATGCGAATACCCAGATCAAAATACAACACTAATTACAAGACTAGAGAAGTGTAATAAGCATGTGAATAAAGGAACACAAAATCCTGTGTGCAGCAGCATACTTTTGTCTGACAAACAAAACGCGAACCACTGTCCAACTTGCAACACAAAATCTGTGAATGGGTCAATCATCCTTCTCCCATAGCTTGATCATCATCTAAAGTTGAGAAGCTCAGGAAGAGTTCAAATATAAAAGCAGTGCCAGCACAATGTATACAGTACTAAACCAAAAAAAAAAAAAAACCTTCACAGAAACAACCGAAAACAAGAGACTAGGCTCAAAATGATTCCCAAGGAAAAGGATATACTACAATCAACAATTAAGACGGCAAATAAGGCAAAACTACAGAAAAGGTTGGTTCTGCCACCAGATAATGTCTTTAACCGAACGCAGTACCGATGTTTAAATTAGACTGAACATTTACATGGTGATCATGGTAGCGCAAGTGCATACTCCCACACCAATAGCAACAGATGCATGCATGATTCAGAAGTCATACAGGAGGAAAGATTACCCTCAGAGCAGAGGGATTTACAGCAACAAAGCCAACAGGCCACATTCAAGTCAGCGTGAACATCTTGCAGCAACTTTTGAACATGATTAGCTTTTACATAATGCTGGTATTGAAATCAGTTCAACCCAACAGCAGAGAGCCTCAGCCTGACACCATTTTCACAACAATGATAAGAACATTAAGCGCTATCAAGGGCATCCGCAAAAACTGTGTGGCGTAGATGAGCCCCACGATCTGCCCCTTCAACGACTTTGTTTGCCCATTTCCTGAAACTTCAGACATGCTCCATCCCCTGGGACCAAGAAAGCGGTCTTCATTCAGGATCGCCAAAGAATTTGCAAGAAGCAAAAAACCCTCCAGCAGCATCCACAAGCCCATCTCTGTACATGAATACCACAACTCTGTTAGTTGAAAACTTTGGTACTTATGTGCCACCAGTCACCAGACCATCATAACTGAACCAATAGACAATTCTGTCCACATGGACTCAACATAGCAAAGTAACATCATCTTCTGAAACATAAACATAACTGGACAAGAAAATACACTAACACATACATTATGACTTCCATCAGGCCCAGATGTGGCACTAGAATGTTAATGATATGCCATAAGTTTCTAAAGTAAATTTCAAGGTTCACTGGGAAAGATCCCTCCGTCGCAGGAATGCCCATATGAGCAAACCATCACTAGGAAATAAGGTGAGCAAAACTGAGAAATTCACACTGGGGGTATATGAACAACTAGGGAATTTCTGAAAATCACGCTAATTAACTGGGAACAATCCAGGGACTGCAAACCAGGGTTCCGTACCAGAGGGGCAGGCCTAACATGAAGCACAGGGCCCATTTTTTTCAAAAATAAACTGCTATTTGTAGTATCACTTCAGGGTAACTGAGATTGGTAACAATGAAGAAATATATGGTAGGACTCAATTGTTCACAGCATACAAAAAGGCTAGAGCAGACCGAATTACAATCCAGGCAAACTAGGGGTTCGCTTACCGGCAAAAGGAATCAAAATCAGATGGATGTTTGACTGGTGGTGGGGGTTTGAAGTTCCAAAAACAGGCTTATGGATTACGATGGGAATAAACTAAGGTAGCGAGAAGCCCTGACAAACTGTTTATTTTTTTCTGTTCGTTTCGGCTTATCGAATTCAAGCTTACTATCAGTCTTGAGTGTGCAAAGTGGTTAATACCCTAGACTTTGATGGTTGTTTTTTATTTACATCGTGGCCATATAGGCACACAAAACAGCAACCAAACCAGCAGCTTGCACTATCAGCGTATCTCGGGTCTTGCCGTTGTCATTCCTCTATATAAACTCAGCACAGATTTATAAATTAATAAAGGCATGGGCACTGATAATATTGACATCATTTGCATCATCAAAACAAAATAAAATATATGCACACATTATTCAGGAGGTTAACATATTGAATTGTTGTGATTGCATAACAATTTTTACTACCTACTGATTTCTTCTAATTTCCACAAGTTAGCAAACTCTTGGGACAGATCACACAGATCCATGGCAATCAAAACAATTACTAGCCCAATTGTTCACATAGATGCATGCTAATCACACAGATCCATAGGAGGAGAAGGAGATTCGGGACAGAGCATGTGCATCGCGGCTGTGGGCATGCGTGTGCGTGCGGGACAGGGGTGAACGCGCGTGCTCGCGCATGGTGCGTGTGGGTGCTCGCGCCTGTACAGGAGCGAGGGGAGCATCTCCCATGGCCACGGCGGCCATGGCAGGGAGCTCGGCTCCGAGCAAAACGCGCGCAGGAACGGCAGCACCCCGCCTAGCCGCCTGCTCACATCCGCATCGGCAGAAGCAGCAGGGCAAGGGGCAGAGAGAGATGAGGGATCCGAGAGGGATGGGGACAGATGGAAGAGGGATGGGAGGAGGAGAGTTCAACCTCTGCGCGGTGAGGATGCGCACCGGCGACGTGCTTGGTAGGCGACGGGGCGGCGAGATCCGTCCGCAGGAGAGAGGAGAGGAGTGAGGAGAGCGACGCGAATGCGGGTGTGAATCGACAGGGGGAGAAACCCTAGTCCTCTTGCTCGCGTGGCTGCAGGGACGAGGATCCTCTACCGTGCCCACTCTGCCGTGCCTTCTTACCCAGCGTACACATTGGTATTGGGCCTATGGGTCAGAAATTAGAACTAACCAGCCCAGCCGTTCATCTATGCACAGATATTCTCAAAAAAAAAAATCTATGCACAGATTAACTAGAGCAATTACCTACTTATTGGTTCCTTGAACATGTCGGCGGAAGAAGGCTCCTGGAAAACCTTATGGAAGACGCCTGTCCCTTCCAAGATAAGAATGTTTCTATGGCGCTTGTCGAAGCATTCACTTCCAACAGAAGATGTGCACTCTCACAGGAAAATGACGGAAACTACGTGATGTGGACTATGCGGGGCAGAGGACTCGTGGAGGCATTCGCTTATCAATTGCACTGTCGCGAGATGCACATGGGCACTGGTGGACGAGGAGTTAGCGCAGCACCTGATAAGCACAACGGAACCGAACGCAAAGCAATGGCTTTTCACACTCATGGAAACCCTGCAGCACCACCAGTCCGTGCTCATCGCTGTAACGTTATGGGCAATATGGTCCTCTAGGCGCAAAGCAATACATGAGGGCATTTTTCATTCACCACAAGCGACTCATTTGTTTATCAAAAGATTTATATCTGAGCTTGACATGTCCAAGAAAAGTCGCCCAGCAGCGCATGCACCTTCCGCAAGAGGGCCAAGACGATCACCAAGAATACCGCCACCGGGTTTTGCAAAGATCCATGTGGACGCGGGAGTTCGTTCGGATAGAAGAGGAACACCGGCGACAGTCTGTAGGGATAGACAAGGGAATTTCTTAGCAAGTTCATCATTGGTGATCCAAGGTCTTGATGATCCAGCCACCCTTGAAGCGATCGCATGTCGTGAGGCACTGGCGTTAGCCGAGGACTTGCATCTACAGAGCTTCATTGTGGCATCGGACTCAAGACAGGTTATCTCAGATATCAACAAGAATGCTCGGGGGAGATATGGTGCAATCATTAGCGAGATTCGCCTTCAGGCAGAACAATTTCAATGTCTTTTTACTTTTGAGCGTAGGGAAGTAAATGTAGAAGCTCATAGTTTAGCTAAATTTTCTTTGTCTCTAGATCCGGGACGCCATTTCTGGTTTGGCCAATCCCATGATCTAAACTGTATCCCACATATTGTGGATTTTGATGAATAAAGACTAGTTCTACCCCTCAAAAAAAATTACCTACTTATTATTGTATAAAAAGTTAACTTTTAATTAGCAATACACATGAGCAACATTCTTTAATGAAAATGAACTCTTATTAGAAAAATGGTTTTGCTAAATCTCAGTCATATTCTACGCGGAGCGATTTTTAATATTTACGCCGTTATGAGCACCTATAAGAGACACGTGAACACATTTACGCCCGCCCGACTGACGTGCAACTGTAATTACGTGCTATCCATGGACATGTAAATGCGGCCGCATGAATCCCCGGATATGGATTTTGGTCAACAGGATATTCGACGGATATGGTAGCGGATACGGTATCAATAATATCCGACGGATGTGGATTATCCGGGCTTTTTGCGAATTATCTGAAGTTATCAAATAGGATTATCCAATAGATTTAGCCCAAACAACAAGTAGCGGTCTATTTTTTGATAGGCCACTCCGCGAGCAAGGAGCGTCGCGAGGAGAAACAAAAAGGCACAAAAATAAAAATAAAAGGACCAATCCAACTGACAAAACAATAATAAGTAATAAAAATTAGGAAAAGGAAAATATAAAATACAAATTCCGCTCCGTGTAATATATGACTGAGATACAAAATTCGTGTTTTTAGATAATAATATTTTTTGGGGAAAATAATAATAGTTAATTACTTTTTTCAGAAATGTAATAGTTAATTAGTTAATGTGCAGGGGTGTGATGCATCCATTTTTTTAGCGGTGTGTGATGTATCAGGTTTGCTAGGCTGGTTGGATTCTGGCCTATATCTTCTTTTTTTCGGGATATTCTGGCCCATACCAGTGCGTACCCCTGGGTAGGAAGAAGGCACGGCAGAGTACCATGCCGCTGGGCACGGTAGAGGAGCCGGATCCTGGCTGCAGGCGTTTTTTTACACAACCTTACAAACTTTATTATCGTTTACAGGATGAAGAGAAGATCTTTCGTTGGCCTAACTAAAACATGATGAACAGCTCCTAATAAAAAATCGTGTTTTATGAGATTGTGAGTCTCTACGTTCGAGATTTTAAATTCATGACTAAAGATGCTGAAAGCAAAATCTAATGATGTAACTTTGATTTCTATGATAACAGGTCCATACGTAACTGAGCTCCTGTTCTTAATTTCCTCCACAATCAACTTGCAGTCCGAAGAGACGAAGATATGATGGGCATAAAGGTCATGTGCAAGAGCTAATGCTTCCCTGATGGCTAGAACCTCAAGTATAGAAGGATCAACCATGTGTGGAAAGATCTCACAATAAAAAAATGTGTGGAAAGAACAACATAGACGCGCCCATGAACGTTCCCCCTAGTCTCGGCATATTGCATCGACCGCGCCGAAAACTCCATGTCTTGATATCGCTGCATCAACATTAATTTTCACGTGATTTGCCGACAGAGGGATCCGCTGGCTCGGACTTGGTACTCGAGCTCACCGTGTGCTTATGTGGAAATTCAATATTTGACAAGAAAGACATAACAAAACCGTGGGTAGTTAACGGGCTTTGAAATATGTCCTCATGAATCCTTCATTCGGGAGCTCCGTATCGCCCATAATGCGAAGATCAATTGTGTAAACTACTCCTTCAACAATGTGTCATTTCTAGCAAATAGCCACTCCTTTGCATTGGGTTTGGTGTTTTTGGCACATATGTTCGACCATTTGCTCATCTGAGAGGGCCCGAACACTTCTCGACATGCTACACTCAAGTAAAGTGTGCCTCGAGCTGTCCGCTTCTCCACACAACGCACATACACGTGAAGTAGCCATGTTGCGATGATCAAGCAAGTCGTCGGCCGGGAGAGACTGTCGGGCCAATCTCCAAGAAAATACTTCTAGTTTAGAAGGAACACATGTCCTCCAAATTGGCACCCGGTCGTTCGAGTTTTGCTACCTGTTGGAGATGCCATGATGTGCCTCCAGCATTGTTCACATAGGTTTTGTAAGTGCATCTAGTGCCCCTTAGTGATTTTGGTGTATTGAAGACTTATAGGTTAAGGGACTAATGCGTTTATGAGTATACACAGGTCTATAAGTCTATGAGGAGTTTGATATTTACGATGAAAGTTGATCCCTAAAAATGAATGTCTTCAGCTGAAGACT